AAAGGATGCAACTACAACAGAATGTAGGTTGTCGGGTTAAGAAGCAGTTTAAGCTAGATCTCAAACATTCTGCACCGGCACCGTAACTCAAAGGCATCAAGTCTTCTTCGGTCTCGTTTCTTCATTTTCCAGCTTTTCTATGTGGGATCCATTAAATTTTAAAGATTGAAACCTAACTCCAGTGAAAAAGAAAATGACACTGTGCCGGCGAAACAATACATACTGTATGGCCTCTGATTTCTTTTCTCGGCTCAGTTATTGAAAAGTCATGTTGTGCCAAGCCTTGGCTCTAAAGATAAAAGGATGGAATCAGCACACCCTGTCCTGAAATCAGTCACAGTGAAGTGGAGGCCGGGGAATCAGGATAAAACATGTTGTGTACTCTTGAGTTATCCATAACAGTAGGTCCTGCTGAGATGAGATCTGTGATTCTACTATTTCAGAAACCATTTGCCCTTATATATCTTGGTTCACGGCTAGGCAGAGGAAAAAAAGAACCAGGAATGAAAGACCAGGAACCTGGTCAAAAAAGGAAGCAAGGGGTTGAATGGCATATTCATTTCTAGGGTTGCCAGAACAAACTGCCACATGGGTGGCTTTAAACAGCAGAAATGTGTTCCCCTGTGATCCTAGAGGTTAGAAGTCCAAAGCCAAATGCCAGGAGGATTGAGTATTTCTGGAAACTCAGAGAAAAAATATCTGTTCTACACCTCTCTGCTAGCTTTTCGGGCTGTTGGCAATCCTTGGTGTTCCCTGGTTTAAAGACGCGATACTCCAATATCTGCTTAGCCTTCACCTGGTCTTCTTCCCTCCGGGTCTGTCTTCTTCCCAAACCATCTTTCATAAAGACACCTGTTATTGAATTTATGTCCCACCCTAAAGATGATCTCATTTGACAATCCTTAAGTTAATTAGATCTGCAACGTCCCTTCTTGCAAATAAAGCCATAATCATAGGTGTATTCGTCTGGGTACTTTAGAGAAACAAATCCACAGAAACTCGTGTATAAGAGAGAGTTTTATAGAAATAAGGTAACCAGACGTCCTGCTTTTGGCGGGACAGTCCCAATTTTTAACAATTTGTCCCGTGTCCTGCAGCATTTTTAAAAAGTCCCGATTTTTGAAAGAATGCACGGCAAGCTAAGGTATACGGTTTTTGGCTGACATGTGGCTATTTCGCTAGGATATGAGTTTTATCAATGGGGTCCCGCTGGTGTCCTGCTTTACCAGTGTTAAAATCTGGTCACCTTATATATAAAGGTTAAGTCCACATCAAGAAAACATCCCAACCCAGCGCTGCCCAAGCCCACAAGTCCAACATTAACCCATATGTCCGACACCAATCCACAAAATCCTCCTCCATCTCACAAAACACACACTATGACACCAACTACAGGAGGAAAGCCAAATCAGTGAGTGTGTAAGCATCTCAGCGCTGACAGGGGTCTCCAGGGCTGAATCAGGGTAGGTCCATGCGGCTTCTCCTTGGGGATGTCTTGCAGGAAGTGAGTCTTGCAAGCTGAAGCAGGGAACTGGCTAAGGCAGCTACATACACCCTGGTCCAACCATCACAAAGCAAGAGACCCGAGAACTCGAAAGGTGAGGCTCACTGAGCCATTTATCTCTCTGCCCTTCAATTAACCCCACATGTGTTTATCGGCCAGGTTGGCACAATTAACTAACTAACTCAACAGGTTCCAGGGTTTCAAACTGGGATATCTTTTAGAGAGTCACACCTTTCCGTACAGATGGCTAGGGCAGTGGTTCTGAAAAAGATTCAATCTAGTTCCACCTCTAAGACGTCATTTACCCTTTTAATTTTATGGACAGTTGCAATGATAGTTCAAATGCAATGGTGGCCAAAACTACGCATGAATCAATGTAACGCACCAAATGCACCTGACAGGTGTGGAGAGTGAGGGGGAAAGATGAGCAGTGGAAGAAGCAGGTAACTTCTGCCAAATCAGTGCAAGCAGCTCAGGCTAATGCAGAGCAGCAGCGTTGGTTGAGGGAGTCCTGCCTCTTAGGGAGGCCTGGAAGCAGGTATCCAGGGAGCTCTTGGGGGATCATGGGTGATATAGACTGCTAGCCCCAACCGTTCGAACCCAGCAGAGGAGGCTTTTTACTTCTGTAAAAAACTGCAGGCTCAGAAATCCTGTACAAGGTGTGAACCAACTCAACGGCAGTTGGTTTGGTTTAGTTTTAGTTTAGAAGCAGGCATCAGAGAACCTGATACCGGAGTCTGGGGATTCAGAACAAACGTTTCCCGGCCTTTGGGTTGTGGGTACCAGACTTTTATCCCTAGCATGTCAGAGTAAAACTGCGCTTCCTAGCCATTTCAGTGGCTGAAATTTTGGAAGTAGATTACCAGGCCTTTCTTCTGGTGTCTGTGGGTGAGCTCGATCCTCCAACCTTTCCAAGTTAGCACCGAGCCCATGAACATTGGGCCACCCAGGGACTATTAGACTAGGCCTCTTTTTGCCAGGTATCATATTTTGTGAACCTGCGGTCCAAGATAAAGATACAGTCACACCTCTTGCGGCCTCTCTGGTCTCGGCCATAGAAGCGAGATGACAAAGGGGACGCCATCCTTCAAACAGCGTCTCAATAAGACGCACACCTTGTGCCGTCCGGTCACTTCAAGGCCTGCTTTTAGCAGAAGTCAGCCTGCGGCAAAGGTGGCTCCCCTGCCAAGCGCAAGAGAAAAGACAACTGGAGCACCCAGGCTAAAAGAGGAACGACCACCGGTCCTGGTCCAATGAGACACCTAAAAATTGTCTCCCGCAGATCAGGCGTGGATTCCGTGAAGGAGGGCCGCTGTTGCTGCGTCCAGTTCATCTTAAGGATTTCAACATTTAGTTGTGCAGATAAAGGATCTCGTATTTCAAATGTAAACAAAACAAAGTTACAGTCACAGTGGCAAATTCCAATTCTTTTTTTTTTTCCAAATCAAATTCCTAATTTTAATTCGGCTTTGCCCAAGCTGTAAAATGAGTGTGTACCATCCTTGAGGGGCTGTGGTCATGGCCAGCTCTTAAAGCACATTGAGATGGCGAGGCTGAGGACTGCTGCGGGCAGACTTGATTCAGGAGATGGATGGTCCAAGGAAGCATTTTGAAGGGGCAGGGCAATGAGATCTGAACGAGAGACAGCACGAAAGGGCAAATGCAATGAATGAAGTGCTGCTGGAGGCAACAGGGGGACTGTGTAGAATATTTAGAATTGTCTCGTAGTGAGGCAAGGAGCTCTTCGCCTCTGCGCCCCATGGTTGAGAGAGGCTTCTGGCACGTAAACTCCCAAGCGTGCCCCTTTGCCAGGGAAGACCCTGCTCGCCCTGTCTGTGGAATAATCATCTGGCAAGTGTGGTGAGACTATGGCTGGAACACTAGCAGTTTTGACTCTCCTTTCCTTGGTCTGTTAGCTATGTGACTTTCACATCGCAAGCGTTTAATTTGCTCATTCATAAAAGGAGGATGAGGATAATCAAACTTTGTCGGGTTGTCAGGAGAATTGAATGACAAAAGATGTATATGTAAATGCTTAGAAAATTCCTCAAAGCTGATGAAATAAATAATATATTATGATTATCCCCCAACCTCTGTTTAACATTTAACCAGTAATTATAGCTACCTTTCTTAACATCTAGAAAAAGGGATCATTTTTTTCCTTGTTAGCTACCATTTTTTTAAAGAAGCAATTTAATTCCACCCCCCCCAGCAGACATTCAGATCCAGCCATGTTTATAGTTGTGAATTTCCCTCCAACGTTCATAAATAATCTTTCACTAAATGAACCCACTTCGGTTCTCTGAAAACCTCTCACATTTCAAGGCTGCCATAAGTAGAATTGAACAACTAGAATGCCTTTCACTTCACCTCTCACCGAATGCCAATGCCAATCATAATAAAGGTCATCAAATTTTCCAACTACAGTATAGATTTCCAGAGATATTCTCCATCTATTTACCTGAAGTGTACCCTGACAAGTGCAAGTCCTTAATTCTTTCTTTAATATGTTTGGAGGGTTTAGCCATCAACCAAGTTGTCCCTAATAATACAGCCCGAGGGGCAGTTTGCTGTGTTTAGCAGATTTTCCTGTGCATTGATGAAGTTCTCTTCTGCAAATCCAGGAGCTCTGAATGACTGATGATCGTGCAACCCCGCTTTCTTCACTGCTCTCATTTCTCGCTCGCTCTCTCCCTTTTTTTTTGCTTTAAAAATTTGGTCTGAAACTGTAGATCTTGAGGATGACCTCTCAAATAATACAGTCCTCCCCCAGGGCCCCCAAGAAATCGTATGAGATAAAAGTTGTTGCAGGCCAAACCCAGGGACACTCCTGGGTTCAGGACTGTGGTGGAATTCAGGGTGTTGCATCCCATCCTTAATCCTCTTGCAACTAATTGGCTTATCATGTCAGATCTCATCATGATACACCATTACATAACTGCCAAAACACTAAGGATTTTTTTTTAAACAAGAAGTTTATTTAAACAACAAGACGCTTTACTTGAAGCGAAAACTGTCTAGACTTCATTTCTTTGAGAGTAATTTACCCCTACTTAAAGACAGATCACCCTGCATGTAACAGCTACGTACAAAAAAATTGTAAAATTGTCCTTGGTTTTACAATGCTAAATGAAAAATATTAAAATTCTCCAATCCAACAAGGTATGCAAGGGTTTTTTTTTTATGTCGTTGCTCTTTTGTTTTTGTTAAACGGTGAGAGCACAGTAACTTACTGGAAAATAAAGCGAGGAGCTGGATGAGCCGCTCATGGCGAAGGGGGTGTTTGCACAGAGCCAGTATTTCCCCATCCCATCTCCACTTGTGTCGATCAAAACAGACCATTGGCCATTTCGTTAAAAAAATAAAAATTTTAAATAAACAAAGGGAAAATTGCAGTATGCGTGTGCACATGCACCGGTTACTTTATGTACAATAAAGGAATGGGGGAGGGGAAATGAAAGAGAAAACTATACTGTAGTTGTTGGGAGGTGGTGGAACCAAATTGTGGTTTTCTAATAGAGAACGGATTCTTGGTCGGTAGGAAGAGAGTTCTGGAGGAAAGGAGCAGGCTCCCTTTTAGAAGACGCCTCCTGTCTGCCGCTGGAACACACCCATTGTATCTCCATCCTCCATGTCCAACGGCGCAGGTGTGTCTGTTTCATGGATTGGCTGTCCGTCAAACCGGAATCTGATCTGCCTCATTGACAAACCCTGTGGTTCAAAATAGGCTTTCATTAGTTTGCTAAGTGGCGTATGCCTCTTAATCGACTTAAACGGCACCCCAGAACCATCCTGCCCCACCACCTTCAAATTCATATGATCGTTGTTCTCAGTCTTGACGCCTTCCTTGAGTTTCTCGCCGGCCGGCCACGGCAAACGCCGAACTCCTCCGCTGCCGCTTCACAAAAGAGGTGCCAGGTCCGCACCAAAGGAGCACACAGACAGCTCAACACTGAAGATTATGATCCAGCCAAGTTATACATTCTGGGGGGAGGAGGCACATTTCAATCCAGGAACCTTCTGTCATGACATTTTCTTGTTCGCCATAAAGAAAAAACAACTCACTCTTGAGGTGGAAAACTGACCATTGCATATAATCTCTAGACAAGCAAGCTTTGAAAATCAGTTTGTTCATTATACATTCAAAAGAACAACTAGCCAAACTATGCATTTTTAAAAAGCAGAGTTTGTTTTTTCACTACTGTAAAAATATAAAAATAGAAACAAGGCAGTGTTCTTCTTTTCCTTTGTTCACTTACTTTTTTTTAAATAATTGATATTTCATTGAAATATGTACACAGCAGACAATCCACCAACTAACAATGTCTACATGTAAAATTCAGGGATGATGATTTCTTTTCATTCTTGAAGTTGTCCAAACATTCTCATCATCCTTTTCTAAATTATTCTTGCCCCACTAACATAAACTCATTACCTCGTCACGCTTCCCACCTGCCCTTTCCAGTGGCTGTTGTCAATTTGATCTTGTAGGCATTGGTGTCACTAGGGAGATAGGGAGATAGCGGATGAAGGCCACATCAGGTGACACTATCAGAGAGGGTATCTCCTAAAAGGCTTTCTTTAAAATTCCATGTAATGTTTCAGCAGAAATGTATTAGCGTTTATAAAATATTCCTGTAGTTATAAAATGAAAACATTTTCAAAAGCCTAGCTAAATGTGTCAATTTATATAAGATTAAAACTCTTTGTTAATTTACTCTTTGAACCTTCTGATATATAGTCATTATTTCTTAATTACACTTGATGCTTCAAATCATGTGGTTTCTTCTGCACAAGCTATAAGTACATGCTGTTGATTTCATTGTTGATGACAATTTTTTATGATAGTTTTTATAGTTGTTGGTTTTGTCAATTTTCTAGTGTTTTAGCTATAATGTTATATTTCATATTTGTGAACCTATATCAATAGTATTGAATACCTCTAAACCAAACTCATTGCCATTGAGAAGAATCTACACATAGAAAACATATCGGACAGTATACAACTGCTCTTGGGAGTTTCTGAGGCTATAAATCTTTACAGAAATATGTCTCCTTTTTCTCCCACAGGTGACTGGTGGTTTCAAACTGCTGAGCCTGCCCAACTCATACCCCATTACACCAGACCCCACTACCCCAGACCCCACTATCCCATTAAAACCAATCTCACTGCCATTAAGTCAATTCGGACTCATAGCAGTCCTCTACGACAGGGACTGTTTACTGGAGTAGAACACTCCATCTTTCTCCAGCAAAGCGGCTGATAGTTTCAAACTTCTGACCTCTTGGTTAGCAGCCCAATGTACAACTACGATGCTACCAGGGCTCTTTAATGTAGACGGAGGAGGAAACAAACCTAATCCCCCCTTCTGTTTTGCTACTAATAATGTTGTAAATGATAATGTTGTAGTTCACTGTAGAGCGATTTCACAAAATAATTTTGTTAGTATTTCTATAATCTAAGAAATGCTACATTTAATAAATTTACAACTGCATCTAACAATGTTATGACTAAATTGATAATAAGTATTATGAAATATTATTTATGGTCCAGTATGGGAGGTCCATCCTAAGGATAACATCATGAGTTACTCCAGTGGGTGATGTCAAACCTAGTGAGGCACTGCCCTTATAGATGTTTAGACGAATACAATCTTCAAGGAAGCCATTCTTCACAAACTAGGCAAAACTACTGGGTTTAAAGAATACTTCAGCAGGTATTTTTGGCTTAAGGTTTAAAGATTATCTTAGAGCAATAGTTTCAAAGTTTCATCTAGCCTTATTCCATGAGAAAATTTAATTCTGGTCTGCAATGAGGCACACAATTATTGATGCTTTGGAATATATAGCTTGACGTGGTTTACCACTATTGGAGTTCTCTTTGTCACATCTTTGGTCATCTCTGTGTATTCTCATATACATTTGTTTCCAGAATATACTGTATACTAAAACCTGTCCTACCTGGTTGGAAATATTTTCCCCAGTAATCTTTCCAATGCACAATTTTACAGACATCACCATTAAAATAGAAAAACAACCACCTGATCAATAACAAACATTTTTATCCAACCATAAGAAGAAGTAGGGTAAATTTGACTTTAAAACAAAAGTACTTTCAAATGTCTTTATTAACTGTATCGTTTTTATAAGAACGGCAATTTCAGGTTGAAAGCTTGTTGGAAAAAAGCTTTGCAAATATCCCCCAGTACTTTGGACATGTGATCAGGAGAGACCAGTCCCTGGAGGAGCCCATGGTAAAGTGGAGAGGAAGAGCCTGGTCCAGATGGCTTGACACAGTGGCTGCAACAATGGGCTCGAGCATAACAGTTGTAAGGCTGACACAGGACTGGGCAGGGTTCAGTTCTGTTGTACATAGAGTAGGTAGCTTTGAGTCGCACCGACTCAACAGCATCAAACAGTACCAACGACAGGACTGGCAGTGTCGTGGGTCTCGTGTTGAGAGGCTAACGGAGAGATCAGCAGTTCAAAACGACCAGCAGCCCCTCAAGAAACAGAAGAGACTCCTGTCAAGAGTTACAGTCTTGGGAACACACAGAGCAATTTTGCTCTGTCCTATAGGGTTGTTATGAGTCGGCATTGACTCATTCGCTGGTTTGGACCAGCCAGAACATTATCAATATTTCTCTTCAATAAACTTGTTTCCATGGCAACTTTAAAAATAAGTCTTGACTTCGGACAGTGTAAGACATGAAAAAATAATAATGGTTTATAAATGATCAAGGGAAATGAGGGAGAGAAGGTGGGGAAGGGAGGGGGAAAATGAGGAGCTGATACCAAGGGCTCAAGTAGAAAGAGGATGTTTTGAGAATGATGATGGCAACATATGTACAAATGTGCTGGACACAATGGATGTCTGTATGGACTGTGATAAGAGCTGTGATAAGAGGCCCCATAAAATGATTTGAAAAACATAGGTCTTGAAGATCTGTGCAATTTCTAATTGCACTTTTTAATTGTAATGCTCCTCTCTTTCTAATTAAAAATATATGTATAGTCTTCCTAAGTAGTTAGCAAAATTATTATTATTTTTTCTCTCCCCGCCCTTCGCCCCCCTTCCCCCCCCACCTCTGTTTCTCCAGCCCTCCGCAAAATTATTTTTTAAATGTTCCTTCAAGTGTAAAGGTTTCAGGCAGCACATACTCAACTTTCTTAAACAACCGATATTAAGATTGAGGCTCATCTATCTATCAACAACATTTGAGCATATTAGAGGGACCTTGGCTTGGTAGCGTGGTGATCAGAACATATCACTATCATAATAACTATAGAGTATTTTGTGTTATTCTGCCAGTAGCATCAATAACCAGCTTTTTTCTGAATCTCTTTTATTCTCAATGCTTAAGACTTCTAATGAAAACATTCTCCTATTAGTGAAGGACCCAGGTTCTCATTTCAAAGTATAATTTTAAAAGCATTACAATTAAAGATGCTCATTACTTTCCTCTTACACTGAATAGGGCTGACTTCTGTAAATAGTATAATATTGTGAAATTGAGGATGTTTGACTTTTGAGGATAAGTCATATGAGACATTGTATCATTTTGTATCAGTTTCATTTTGAGCTTTCTTGGCGTATGGGAGACGTGCAGCTTGTGAGACCCCGCCCAAACACTCGGGTCACTCACTTTAGAGTGGTATGTCACGAAGAGACTCGAACAGTCCTCGGGAGAGGCCTCTTACCTCTTGACAACAGTCAGGAGAGTGAAAGCCTTAGTTTCCTACTGCTACCATGACAAAATACCAGAAATGAGAGACTTTAAAGAACAGAAGTTTGTTTTTCTCCTAGTTCTGAAGGCCAGAATTCTAAATCCAGTATATTGCCGTAAAACCTCTTTGAGCTGGGGCCAGGGCGTGGCACCCCAGCAGAATCAATCTGAAAATACTCCTAAAGGTCAACAAACAGACCTGGAACTATTTATAGGCTTTTCTTATTTTTTAGTCTTTGTTTTGTAGTTGTTGTTGTTGTTTTTGTTTGTTTTCTTTTGCTCTGTCTTGTTTTTGTGCATATTATTGTCTCTACATGTCTATATTGATAGATAGGATAAACAATCTGGGGGAGAAAACAATGGGACCGATGGTTGGCAGGGGTAGGGATACAGGGAGAGGTAGGCAGGGGAAAGAAAGTGGGTGTTAACAAACCCAGGGACAAGAGAACAACAAGTTACCCAGATTCAATGGCAAGAAGGGCATGGGCTGCCTGCTGGGGCTTGATCGAGGGCAAAGTAACAGAGAGGAATTATTGAAACCTGAATGAAGGCAGAACATGATAGTGAAACAAGAGAAAAGTAAAAGGAAATAGAGGAAAGAACTAGAAGGCAAGGGGCACTTATAGAGGTCTAATATAAATATATTTATATATAACGATAGGGAAATAGATCTTGGTACATATATTCATAGGTTTAGTATTAAGGTAGCAGACAGACTTTGGTCCTCTACTCAAGTATTCCCTCAATGTAAGAACACTTTGTTCTAATAACCTGGCATTCCGTGATGCTCAGCTTCCCAACATGATCACTAAAGACAAAATGGGTGCATAAGCAAATGTGGGGAAGAAAACTGATGGTGCTTGGCTATCAAAAGATATAGCATCTGGGGTCTTAAAGGCTTGAAGGTAAACAAGCAGCCATCTAGCTCAGAAGCAACAAAGCCCACATGGAAGAAGCACAGAACCTGTGTGATCATAAGGTGTTGAAGGGATGAGGTATCAGGCATCAAAGACCCAGAACAAAAAACTGTTAGATCTCTCTTGTAGCAGAAATACCTCAGTTCTTGGCTTCCCACGAGAAAGAATTCACTCCGAAGCCTAGATTGTGGTCCAAGTGAGTTTTATAAAGGATAGAAGAAATTTAAGGTTTTATACAAACACCCGCAGGGCACTTCACCCCCCACACGTGGAGTCCTGAGGCCAGAGGAGATGCTGCATGACCTCTTAGGGGCAGCTTGAGAAGCAGAAGGGCCCACAAGGCTCTGGACTCTGCCTTTTCAGGTCCTCCACTGGGAGGCGTGGTCAATGATCCTGGTCGACCCCATTGGCTGAACTGAATTCACCTGGCCCAGATGGGCCAATTCAGGTGTAATGCCCACCTAGATGTACCCCCCCCTTCCTGGCCAGAATCTCAAACCTCTGAGAATATGCAATGGACACCCCAGTCCCTGTGCTAGCTACCTAACAAAACCATATCAGTGTGAATGAGGGGGAGTGCAAAGTGGAGACCCAAAACCCATCTACAGACAATTGGACATCCCCTTACAGAAGGGTCGCAAGGAAGAGATGAGTCAGTCAGGATGCAGTGTAGCACTGATGAAACACAACTTTCCTCTAGTTCTTTAATGCTCCCCCCACACACACACACACACATTATCATGACCCCAATTCTAGCTCACAAATCCAGCTAGACTAGAGCATGTACACGGGTACGGATAAGAGCTGGAAACACAGGGAATCCAGGACAGATAACCCCCCTAGGACCAATAAGGAGAGTAGCAATATCAGTAGAGTAACGGTAAGGTGGGGGAAGAAAGGAGGAACCAATCACAATGATCTACATATAATCACTTCCCTGGGAGACGGACAACAGAAAAGTGGGTGAAGGGAGACATCAGTCAATGCAACACATGGGGAAAAAATAATAATTTATAAATTATCAAAAATAATAATAATTTATAAATTATCAAGGGTTCATGAGGGAGGGAGGGCTGTAGAGGGAGGGAAAAAATGAGGAGCTGATGCCAAGGGCTCAAATAGAAATAAAGTATTTTGGAAATGATGATGGTAACAAATGTACAAATATGCTTGACACAATGGATGGATGGATTGTGATAAGAGCTATATAAACCCCCAATAAAATGATTCAAAAAACAAACAAAACCCTCTTTGAGCTTCTAGTAGTTGCCAGTAATCCTTGGACTTCCTGGGCTTGTAGATTCATCTGTCTTCATTACCACATAGTGTCTTCTACCTGGATGTGCCTGGGTCTATTCCGCTCTTTTCATCAGAAGGGATTTGGTTTAAGACTTACCCTACTCTGGTAAGACTTCATGCTCATTAAGAAACCTCCTAGGTACAGGGGCTAGAATGTTAGTCTAACTTTTGGGA